TGTAAAAGCAATATTTTGTGAACAAATCTGACCACAAATCTTTATTTTTATAGCATGGTTGTTTTAGTTTGGAAGTTACATACCTTGCATGTCAATCTCGAGTTATTTTCCAATTGTTCCATTGTATATCTCAATTTTTTTTTACTTACTTACTTATTTCTAAAAAAAATGTGTCCAATGTGTCCAAGAAAATCCAACTAAAATAATGTGTGAAATTTCAAATCGAATTGCAATTACTGTTTTGAATCATGAACCAAAAAACTTGTTTCTTTTTTAAGTGCTTACAGATATATTACATATGCTCCATAGGAATATAGATTACTTACATATTGTTTCTAATCCATACCATTTTATAGAAGGTTTCCCCCCAGGATGGATGGACAGATGGTGAAGGACAGAGGGAAGGGCAAAAAAGCAGTTCATGTGCCATCGCCGGGGGTAACGGGGCACACGGCCTGGGTTACACTAGGGCATATACTGTACCTTTAATGCCAAAAATACTAAGCTTCTTTCAGAACGGAACACCCCCTTTGCAGCTTTATAGAGTTCTTTGGGGTGAAATATAGTCTTTTAGTTTGCAGTCTTTGATCAAAATGTTAAAGCCGGGGTACCCAATTTTCAAAACACAGAAAAACGAACTCTCTAATACAATCCATGTAACTATACTTCCTGACTTTAAAACAGTTTAGGTCTATTGCTGTTTTTTACGTGCATGTATTTGTTTGGGCTCTTTGATAAAGCTTTCTAAACATTTTTAAACTGAATAGTGAAAAAGAGAGGACCAACCTCACTCAGTCCATCAGCTCTCATCCCAAAAAGTCAAATAGTGACATCCAGGGCTCTTTCTTGCAAGTATGTAAAAGATAAAAATATGTTTTCGAAGACGAAGACAGCATGTCGTGGTCTTATTTGTTCACAACATTTTACTTTGACTTTCTGTCGGGACAAATATCTGGTATATATTAAACAGTTTCCCCAGCTTTAAGTAAGAGAGATGAAATTGTGTTGGGAATAATTTAAAGTTTTTTTGGTTGGTTGCTTCTTTGAGTGCTGCATGATACTAGAAGGAGCAGCACAGAACATGATTAGTTTTAGTTTTAGGATTAACCATGTAACATTCATGTATAAAAATGAATTTTCAAATAAGATCACATGTCCTTTTAAACAAACAGAAATGGCTTATTGCTATGTTATATCAAACTTTGCCCTGTGAGTTTTGCTGCATCTGTACTTCTTGTCGTTGCTTTCTGTACTTTTGAAGCCAGTGTCTGAAATATGATGAGCTTAGCCAAAAGCCCCCAGAGTCTCTCATTTAAAAAAAAAAATGTGACAGCTAAAGACTCCAATCCAGCCACACTCTGAGACAGCGCCTTCCAAGAGCAAAAGGAACCGCAGAAGAAACGGTGCTTATGGGAGAAGACTATAATAAGCTTGTCACAGAGATATATTTGTGATCAGTTTGGCTGTGACCTATTTTAATCTAAAACATAGCTGCAACAGAGGAGATGTCAAAAGCACCATGGAAACTGATGGTTTTTTCTTTGCAAGTAGAACAATAGTAGTATGGTAGTTTTTATCAGTACAAACTCCAGAGCTTTAAATACAGCCATGCTCCTTAAAATGCAGAAACACTCAAGAGCACTGCATTAAAAATATGACAGTTGACCTTAACAACGCTGGAAAGTGGTTTAAAGTTATTGGAAAACGTCAAAAGAACATACTATTGTATAAGTTTGTCATTTACATCTATAATGTAGTATGTTTGTGTGTTTCTGTAGCATATCTCGCTCACTGTTGGCCAGATCCACAGTGTATTCTTTATTTTAGATTTTTTTTCTCTGTCTGGTGCACACTGGGGAAGTGTTGCACAGTTTTTCCAATGTGGTTTTAATGCAAATGTCAAATCAATTCTTGTATCTTATTGAACCCAAGAGACTATATTTTAACATTTTTAACGTGTTTTTGTCATTTTGCACAACTCGTTCTATGTCACATTTCTCCATTGTGTTATCATTAAAGTTTATCTTTTCTTATCAAATTAAACTATTTTTAGGAAGCCCTGTCTCCCTGAAGAAAATGCTAGCTCCACAGGGCCACTCTAGTATTTTTTCAAGCCTCCACCGTTTTTCACATCTTCTCTGTTGCTTCCAGAACCATTGTTCACTTTTGCAGCTCGTCAAAATCACAAAGAAGTGGTTTCATAAACGTACTGAGGCTGGAGAATCGCGAGCACAGGAAAAGGGGAAGACCAAAGTTGTGAGGCAGACCGATTATTGATGTACTCATCGCATTTTTAATTAGTTCAAACCTCTCCCTAAATACGTTTTAATATAAATGTGACCTTCTGATATCAAAGTATTATAAAAAATATATTATTATGTTAAACAAAATATTATCTATCTTTTCAGGAACAGTCCAATTCCTCCCATAATGACATAACACATAAAAAACAGTATCTAGATTTGAATCCAAGTTCAGATGATGAAAAACCGATATTATCCTAACGTTTTTTTGCAATTAAAGTAGCCAGGCCATGTTGTATTCTCACAGAACACTAGTGGTAGTTGTTCCACTATAGACTACAGGTCAGCTCTGGTCTGACAGAAGACCAGAGTGAGTTTGAGCACAGCAGGTGATAGTAAAAATGCATCAAGTAATGTTGGTCCTCCCTCAGGTACATGAAGAATACAGTCCTCATAGTTCTATAGCTTCTATAGCTTCTATAGCCCTACACAGACTGAGCTGTCATGTTGGCTTCTTCTGTTGATGCTTCCAGCGACCAGCAGCCCATGTCAGTAGTATGCCCTCAGAAAACAGATAATTCCGGGATTAGTTACATGTCCTCGAGCCAGAGTGTCTGGAAACTCACCGCAGCGCAGCAGAGACAGCAGATGTCCACTCACAGGTGAAAGAGTCTTATAGGACACTCCGCACCAGAAATAAATATACTACACTGGGTCCTTGCACTTTCAGACCGACAGCTTGGCAGGAAATTGAATAATAAAACACAAATCTCTGTAGTAACATAAAAAAATGGAGGCCATAAAAAGGAAATAAAATGGGCATATGTGCGAGACTTTCTTTCTCAAGTTTTATTCATTTTTAACCACTTCAACTTATCTAAGTGAAGTTAATTTCCAATTGCATAACACCTTTCTGCGTGGCTTTTACTAAGAACAGATTCAATGTTGACTTATGGCTGCGTGTGTCATGTCCAGATTCAAATAGACCAGACATTACACCGTGTCCTATGTGTGTTTTGGTCTATTTTGACGTCGTAATGTGGACACTTGTGAACTTCAGTTGAACTTGAAAAATATTCTTTTTAGTCAGATTTGTCTTGTTTGCAAAACCTGTCTGTTCCTTGTAACACATAGTGGGATGTTGCTGCCATTTCTTATCCAGCGGAGGAGCCAGCTAATCCTCCTGACTCGCTGGCACACTCAAAGACGCTAAGAGCCCTCTGCAGAATGTGCTGGAGCTTTGTATGCAACGATCCAGAGCTCACTTTGCTAATTTTTTTAAGCAGCCACAGGTAAAGTTGATTAGCTGCAAGTTGATTCCCGCCTTTTGCCTAAAGAAAACTCCAATAACACCTGGATTCTATATTTACAGCTTCTGACAGGTGCAGAACGAGAAACATACACAGACAAAATGACTTCACTTAGGATTAGAAGGATTGCTGTGTATTTAAGTAAACGTATGTATCAAACATATGTTAAATTAACAGCTGGTATATTTAAAGATGCAGTCAGTGATTTTTTCTAGATGCATTTTTTAAATATTGTGGGAAAACTTCCCTAAACCCTAAAAGTAGTCAGATACCTGTAGTCTCCAAAAAATAGTACAAAATATTTTGGAGTGGACCGATAAAAAGAAACCAATGGGATTCGTTCATCCCCAACGAACCAATGGGATGCGTTTACACCCCCTTCACCCTCTTCCTGTTTCCCGCGAGTGCGCACACCTGAGTTATCCATGGAATTACCAGATTTTCTAAAACCTAAAAGGGCTGAACAGAAAACATGTTTGCCACCCACAAAAAAATGCTGGATGTTTGGTTTGGTGGAGAGGCGAGGGGAGGGGAGGACTGGTTTCGAGTTGGTGCTAGGGCTAAGCTAACAAAATTGCTTACTGCACCTTTAAGATAATTATGTCTGTGTGTAGTTGTCCATGCCGGCTGGTCCTATAGCCTGACTTAATCAAATCTCTGAAGCTAAGCAGTGCAACACCCACATTGCCTAGTATTCATCTGTTCTCAGTCTACCCCAGGGCAGCTGTGGCTACAATAGTTGCTTACCACTACCGTCTGTGTTTAAGGAATGAATAATACCATGTTTTCACAAGAAGAAACGTCACAAAACTGAGAGAGAGAACAACATCTAACCATTTCCAAGTCTACAGAAAGTGTAGTAAATGGAGCCAGCTCAATTACTACATATTAAAGGATATATATTATTCAAAATCAACTTTTCTGACCATTTAATCGTGCTACAACTCAGCAAAAAAACAGACCTGGTTTTGCTTTTAGATCCATCCCAGTGAATATCAAGAACTCCTGGCACAAATCTGTAACTCCGCCCCTTCTGTCTCAAAGCTCCTGTATACCGTAATAGTATCATGTCATTGTCCTCTATGACATCACACTCAGAGCAGTATTTTTATTATCTTTTAAAACAAAAGTATTGACCCTAAATTAGTTTTGTTTTCTCAGGTGAAATGAGCTTTGTTACCATCACATGTCTTTTGCAAATATACACATTTGAAAAAACCCAATCCAACTCCCTCTGGTGGAGGCAGAGGGCGTTACAGGCAGAAAGCATTTTTTTTACCTTTCATACTTATGTCACCATGTATTATCTACTTATTCCACATTTAAAAAAAACATGCAAGTCATTTTTAATGGGAAAAATAATGCATAATATTTCTTCTTCTTAGATATAAAAATTGACATAATACTTTTCTCTCAGTCTTGTCCCCATTTGTTCTGCTTTACTCACTGTTGGTCTTGAGGCGTGCTGGCTCGCTGTTGCGGCTCCCCGCCTGGTTGATGGCCTTGACAAAGAAGATGTAGCGGGTGCCACTCTGCAGACCGTGCACCGTGTAGTGGTTCTGCTTGATATTGGGCACGATCATCCAGCTGTCTGCTGAGTTGTACAAGCCTGCCACACAAACACACAAACAGCAGGATGTGACTTACAAAGCGGCGGCAACACAATCTGCAAAACTGCCTCACACAACTTTATTTTTTAAAGTTCGAGCAGGGATTTTTACAGCACAATAACACACTGCTGCTCTTCTGTATACTGTATGTCACATCACAATAGAACAAGTCTGATAATTTAGTCTTTTTTCTCTCTTGACTAATAAATTGATCTTGGACAAACAAAGGGAACAGAGAACAAGAAACTTACAAAGGACAAGAAGATGTAATGCAGAAAATAGCTTTGTAATTAAACAAAATAAAACTAATCTTTCAATATAACTGTGCTTTAAAGCTGGTATACCTGATTTCTAAACTATGAAAATATCAGAATTAGAATAATTTTTATTGCCACGTAAGTAACAAAAGTCAGCACTTGGAAATTGCTTTGGCAGAGCATGCCACGGCGCCATCTTATATCTTATATAAATATTGTTTATATGTAGGCGCCACCTACATATGACAGCCAGATCCTGTCAGACCTGGTTAGGGCCTGGTTAGTCCTGTGATGGGAGACCTCTGGGAACATCAGGTGCCACAGTGGGGCGGCTGCGGCTGTAAAGTGCCAAACAGTTGCTGTGTGCTTAAGCAAGACGCTTTACCCACATTGTCTAGAATGTGTGTGCGTGCGTGTGTATGATTGGTGGTGGTAGTTGCATTACTTCTGTCAGTGTTCCCCAAGAGGCAGTAGTAGTTTATCACCACTGCGTATTCAATCCAATCCACTTTATTTAAATAGCACATTTCATAAAAACAGTTTCCAAAGTGCTGCTCAATAGAATACTAATTGTATAGAATAGTATTAATGAATGTGAAGCGTCGTTGAGTGTCCACAAATATATAAAACCAATACATTGTTATCCATTCATCCATCCATTTTCTTCCCCTTAATCCGTTTCTGGGTTGGGGGGTGGCAGTCAGAGCTGCACCCAGTTCACAGAGCACCAGCCCCTCACTGATCCTCCTGCAGGTGGTGAGTCCACAGGAGCCTTGATCTTTCAGCGGGGGCTTCATACAAAGCGGGGTTAAGTGTCTTGCCAAAGGACACAACGACACTAGTCATCAGTGGGAGTCGTGAAGTAGGTCTTGTGGTGGGCTCAAAGCAACAACCTTCAGGCTCTAAGGCCAAATCTCTACCAACTGAGCCACTGTCGCCCCTACATTGTTATAATTATTAATACTATTGAATAATAATGTATTGGTTTATATATTTTATATAATGTAAAAAATATACACTTTCTAGAGTAGCTGTATTTGTAGCTCTAGTGCATTAATGCCTATATGCCTTCTACGCTACCTGAGAAAACAAAGAAAAATCATAAAATAACTTCAAATGTTTTTTTCAGAGGGGAAACAGTTTCTTACTATGCACCAACTGTAGCTTAAACTAATATTTGTGAAATGTGGAGCCTTGTTGTTTGATTCCCCACAGCGTACGGTGGTAATACAATCCTGAAGAGGTGTACGCCATCTCTGCCCTGCGATGGTGCCCTCTGGATGCACGGTGAATTATTGAGCAAGATGGCAACAGCATGCATAAGTAATAGGCCAGAGTCTGCTTGTAAATATAAATACTTCACGCAGACTGGCAAATAAGGGCTTTTATACGCGAGCGGCTTTAAGTATGAATGAGAAGGAAGGGACTCCGGTAAAAGCTATATGTTTCTGAAGACGGAAGGCTTTCATCTCTTTTATAGGTTGAGAGACACAATGTAGGCCAACACGAGCTGTCCCCCGTTACTACGAGACATCTGCAGAGGCCTTTTGACAACTAAGAAGCGGATGAATAAAAAAACACAAAAATAACAGAAAGAACACTCATAACATTTCCATACATAAGATAAGGGTAACACTTTACATTACGGGCCGGTAAGTCCATGGTACTTACAGTGGTACTTCTAGGTACTTACAGTGGTACTTACAGTGGTACTTACGGTGGTACTTACGGTGGTACTTACGGTGGTACTTACGGTGGTACTTACGGTGGTACTTACAGTGGTACTTACGGTGGTACTTACAGTGGTACTTACGGTGGTACTTACAGTGGTACTTACGGTGGTACTTACGGTGGTACTTACAGTGGTACTTACAGTGGTACTTACAGTGGTACTTACGGTGGTACTTACGGTGGTACTTACAGTGGTACTTACAGTGGTACTTACAGTGGTACTTACAGTGGTACTTACGGTGGTACTTACAGTGGTACTTACGGTGGTACTTACAGTGGTACTTACGGTGGTACTTACGGTGGTACTTACGGTGGTACTTACGGTGGTACTTACAGTGGTACTTACGGTGGTACTTACAGTGGTACTTACGGTGGTACTTACCGTGGTACTTACGGTGGTACTTACGGTGGTACTTACAGTGGTACTTACAGTGGTACTTACAGTGGTACTTACAGTGGTACTTCTAGGTACTTACAGTGGTACTTACAGTGGTACTTACAGTGGTACTTACAGTGGTACTTCTAGGTACTTATTGTGGTACTTACAGTGGTACTTCTAGGTACTTATTGTGATAATTCTAGATACAGCTGTAACTTAGTAATTCAAGGACACTACAGTATTATTCCTATGTAGTAAATGTGGTACTTCTACATACATACATACAGAGGTCATTTGTAGGATTGTTTGACTATAAAACATAAAACAACATTATGTAAAACAAACGTCTTTATTAATATGGAATAAGTAGCACAGAAAGGACAGTATAAATACATTTAATGCATATTTCAAAACAAGTTTCAAGGACAAGGGAAACACTGCAAGAACTAGGTACCCAACCCAAGTAACAAGAATTACACATTACCAGGTACTTACCAGGCAAGTACCAGGTACTTACCAGGCAAGTACCAGGTACTTACCAGGCAAGTACCAGGTACTTACCAGGCAAGTACCAGGTACTTACCAGGCAAGTACCAGGTACTTACCAGCAAGTACCAGGTACTTACCAGGCAAGTACCAGGTACTTACCAGCCAAGTACCAGGTACTTACCATAGGGACTGGCCCATAATAAGACAAAGGACTTTAACATAAGTACCAGTGATAACACCAGTAATTATATAGTAAGTACCAGGTACTTACCATAGGAACTGGCCCATAATAAGACAAAGGACTTTAACATAAGTACCAGTGATAACACCAGTAATTATATAGTAAGTACCAGGTACTTACCATAGGAACTGGCCCATAATAAGACAAAGGACTTACCCATAAGTACTAGTGATACCAGTAATTATATAGTATACCATGTACTTACCAGCAAGTACCAGGTACTTACCAGCAAGTACCAGGTACTTACCAGCAAGTACCAGGTACTTACCATAGGGACTGGCCCATAATAAGACAAAGGACTTTAACATAAGTACCAGTGATAACACCAGTAATTATACAGTAAGTACCAGGTACTTACCATAGGGACTGGCCCATAATAAGACAAAGGACTTTAACATAAGTACCAGTGATAACACCAGTAATTATATAGTAAGTACCAGGTACTTACCATAGGAACTGGCCCATAATAAGACAAAGGACTTACCCATAAGTACTAGTGATACCAGGTACTTACCAGCAAGTACCAGGTACTTACCAGCAAGTACCAGGTACTTACCAGCAAGTACCAGGTACTTACCAGCAAGTACCAGGTACTTACCAGCAAGTACCAGGTACTTACCAGCAATTACCAGGTACTTACCAGCAATTACCAGATACTTACCAGCAAGTACCAGGTACTTAACAGCAAGTACCAGGTACTTACTGTATAATTACTGGTGTTATCACTGGTACTTATGTTAAAGTCCTTTGTCTTATTATGGGCCAGTCCCTATGGTAAGTACCTGGTACTTGGCTGGTAAGTACCTGGTACTTGCTGGTAAGTACCTGGTACTTGCTGGTAAGTACATGGTATACTATATAATTACTGGTATCACTAGTACTTATGGGTAAGTCCTTTGTCTTATTATGGGCCAGTTCCTATGGTAAGTACCTGGTACTTACTATATAATTACTGGTGTTATCACTGGTACTTATGTTAAAGTCCTTTGTCTTATTACGGGCCAGTCCCTATGGTAAGTACCTGGTACTTTCTGGTAAGTACCTGGTACTTGCCTGGTAAGTACCTGGTACTTGCTGGTAAGTACCTGGTACTTGCCTGGTAAGTACCTGGTACTTGCTGGTAAGTACCTGGTACTTGCCTGGTAAGTACCTGGTACTTGCCTGGTAAGTACCTGGTAATGTGTAATTCTTGTTACTTGGGTTGGGTACCTAGTTCTTGCAGTGTTTCCCTTGTCCTTGAAACTTGTTTTGAAATATGCATTAAATGTATTTATACTGTCCTTTCTGTGCTACTTATTCCATATTAATAAAGACGTTTGTTTTACATAATGTTGTTTTATGTTTTATAGTCAAACAATCCTACAAATGACCTCTGTATGTATGTATGTAGAAGTACCACATTTACTACATAGGAATAATACTGTAGTGTCCTTGAATTACTAAGTTACAGCTGTATCTAGAATTATCACAATAAGTACCTAGAAGTACCACTGTAAGTACCACAATAAGTACCTCTAAGTACCACAATAAGTACCACTGTAAGTACCTAGAAGTACCACTGTAAGTACCACAATAAGTACCTAGAAGTACCACTGTAAGTACCACTGTAAGTACCACTGTAAGTACCACCGTAAGTACCACGGTAAGTACCACGGTAAGTACCACGGTAAGTACCACCGTAAGTACCACTGTAAGTACCACCGTAAGTACCACCGTAAGTACCACCGTAAGTACCACCGTAAGTACCACTGTAAGTACCACTGTAAGTACCACTGTAAGTACCACCGTAAGTACCACCGTAAGTACCACCGTAAGTACCACCGTAAGTACCACCGTAAGTACCACCGTAAGTACCACTGTAAGTACCACCGTAAGTACCACTGTAAGTACCACCGTAAGTAC